ACTCAGGCATGGGGTGAAAAACTGAGACAAGTTTATTCAAAGGTTGCAGCCTTTTATAGCCAAACACAAAGAGAAAACTTTCCTTATAAGGTAAAAAGTGTCATCGCAGCATCCAATTGGATGCTAGCTGTTGCCTGGGGAGACGGCAGTTTTTCGGAGCTACAAATTCATTCCTGTAATGAGTTGCTCTGTGCTTTGCAGAGGTCTGTTTTTTTCCAGGCCCTATTTCCCACAGCCAACAGGTCCAGAGAAGTGATTCTTCCCCTGTACTCAGCGCTGGTGAGGCCACACCTCGAGTACTGTGTCCAGTTGTAGTGGGTTTGTGTAGTTAAATAGCACTTCGTTTTTCCAGGAGGAACAGGATATTCCATACCATGTTACATCAGTCTGGCTATAAGAGGGAAGGGAGAATTAGCTCGGCCCTTCTTCTCCTTCTGGAATGACCCGATAGACAGCTGTGCCTGTCTGAGACGCCGCTCCGTGGGGGAGGTAGAATTTTTTGCTGTTAGTTTCCCTTGCCTGTGTGTTTGTAGCGTTATTAGTCTTTTTTTTTCCCTCCATGTAAATATAAACTTTCTTCCTTGGTAAGCCCAGGTTTTTCACGTTTTTGAGAAGCCCCAGCTCCTAACAATCCTGGGCACAGGTGAGATAAAAGAGCAGCTCTTTTAGGGTTAATTTTACTAGCAACTGTAAATTGGGTTTTTCCCAGAAACTGGGGAATATGGTGGACTGGGAAGTGAGACTTTGGGGCTCTGTGTTGTTGCAAAAGTCAGTGTTTTCCCAGTCTGTGGGCGAAAAGCGTTTCACCTGGATGGGCAGTTTGACTGACCTGGGACAGTTAAGGGGGAGCGGGTGGAGGACCCCCCTTGGCGTGGCTTCGGTAAAGGCAGGGCAGGGACGGTGGACAGTGGACCATACCACTGTGGTTACTCAGGGGGTTTTGTGTTGGCTTGGGACAGCCAGAAGGAAAAGTGACGCCTTTTCTGCATTTAAATAGCCTGCCCTCATTTCAAGTTGGTGGTGGTGTGCAGAGAGAGAACCCGTTTCGCATTCCCCGTTTCGCATTCTTGAGACCATGGGTTCAAATATGGTACTGGGAAGCTTTTTTCCTGCCTAGTAGTTGTCATCATGGGTTGTGTTGAGTCCCGAGAGGAGAAGATTCCAAAAGGATCTCCTTTAGCTTTGGTTTTGCGGCACTGGAGGCATTTGACAAGTCCTGAAACATCTTTAAAGAGGCAGGAGTTATGTAGGCTATCTATAAATATGTGGCCATTGCATGGGCTGCATGAAGGGGAGGAGACTTGGCCGAAGTTTGGCTCTTTTCAAATGAATACAGTGTTATAGCTCATGTCGATCCTCCATAAGGAGGAGCGGTGGAGAGTAGTGGTGCATGCTGAATTGTTTCTGGCTTTTTTAAACTGTCCGTAATGGAAGAGGAATTATAAGTTAGAGAAAGCCCCGGCAGTAGTGGGAGCTGCCACTATGGGACAAGCAGGGACTGGATGCCCTGTGGACACCATGTCTGGAGCTATGACCGCAGGTCCTGGGGGAAGTAGTGCTGGAGCAGGGGCCGCCACGAGTCTGGCAGACGGGACAAGGACTGCGGCAGGCACAGGCGCAGAACACTCCTGCACGGACACAGCTCGCCCGGTGTCTGAACACTCCGCGGCTACAAGCGTCGCCGACTCGGCTGCCAGCGATACCTCGGCAGCTAAGGACAAAGCGGCTGCTGCTGTAGGAGTAGGAGCAGAGGCAGTGCTAAAGGCGCTGTCCCTGCCCCGATCAACATAGGTACTTCTGGCTCTGCCATTATGGGTGGAGCCAGAGCTACCTCTTCCCCATTCCAACTCCCAGTCCCATACATACCTTACACCCCCACGGGGTATGCTGAGGGTGGGGTCATTCCAACTGCCCCCCCGGTATGCAGGTTTTCCCATTCCGGAAGGGGGGGGCAGCATCCAAGGGCGTTTCCAGCTTTTGCCCCATATCATCAGGGAACGGGTTCCCTGAGGATGAGCAGGTCACTCCTGGCCTACGAGAGGAGGCAAAGGTGGGTCCTTCCCCCCTTTGACCCCTCAAGCATGAAAATCAAAACTAGTGATCTCACTGACACAGATACAGAAGCCTCTGATGATGCATAAGACAGTACCTCAGAGGAGGAAAGAGCTCCTGTAGTAAAACCAACAACAAAATGAAGTGTTTCTGCTGCAACTGCGAGGGAAAGGGGGAGAAGGGTGCGTGAGGCTCTGTCGGAACCAAACCTGGTGGCTAGGAGAATGAGAACAAAAAAGGGAAAAACTGTCATAGAGGCTCCCCTGAGACAGACCATGGGTAACCAAGGACCAATTTTGATAAAAGTTCCTTTTTCTCTGCTTGAGAATATAGAGAGAACCCAGAGAAGGTGGCTAATTATGTAGAAAGAGCAATAAGAACACAAAATCCAGACTGGTATGATCTGGAAGCTATAATGGATACATCACTTGATAGCACGGAGAAGGAGATGGTTAAGCAAGCTGCCCAAATTACAACTGAGCTATTACTAGCATCTGGAAAGCTCACAGGGGAACTTAAGGATATATTCCCTTTAGAGGATCTGAAATGGGATCCCAATTCACCAGAAAAAATGAAGGCATTGAAACATTATCAGGATTGGGTGGTGTATGGTTTAAGACATGGTATTCCAAAAGCAGTAAATTGGTCAAAAATGTATGAGGTGACGCAAGACAAGAATGAATCACTGACAGACTTCTTGAATAGGCTGAAAGAGGATAAATGAAAATATACAGATGTGGACCTCAATTCAGACCTCAGGAAAACACACTTGGTCTATTTGTTCATAGATCAATCTGCAGATGATATAAGGAAAAAGTTGCAAAAGGCAGGTGAGAAGAAAGAGATCAGTGCTTTGTTGGATATAGCTTGGACAGTGTATTGGAATAGGGATCAGAATGGCAAGGCAAAAGTGCTGGAAGTGGAGGCAGATGACTGCCACACACCCCACGAATGCAGTAACTGTCATGAATGCCGCAAAACACAATGCCCACCACAGGTGTTGTAAATGAAATTGCCAGCATGATAAGGGGAATGATCGGTGTTCTTTCTGCAAAAAGAAGGGGCACTGGAGAAGGGATTGTCCAGATTCGAAGAGAAGTAGAAACCCAGTCCCTTAACTAGCTGTGGACCAGGATGGACAGGGTGTCTGAAGGGGACCGGAGGATTCTTCCCCAGCAGAACCTCTGGTTATAGCTAAACTGGGGGGAGAAGAAGTTGAATTCTTGGTTGATACAGGTGCAGCATATTCTGTGTTAAACACTTTGGAAGGGAAACTGAGTCATGATACTGTAAAGGTGGTTGGTGCTACAGGGGTAAGCAAAACAAGGCCTTTCTTTAAATCTTTGAGATTTAAATTGGGAAAGCACTGAGTAACTCATCAATTCCTCTGTGTGCCAAACTCTCCTAAGCCTTTACTGGTGTGGTGGGTTGACCTTGCCTAGATGCCAGGTGCCCACCCAGCCACTCTATCACTCCCCTTCCAAGAGGGACAGGGGAGAGAGCAAGGTGGGAAAGAAAAAACAAACAACTCGTGGGTTGAGATAAGGCAGTTTATTTAAAGCAAAAAGCAAAGTGAAGCTAGTGCGCACAGAAGCGAAAGATAGCAGGGTTTATTCTCTACTTCCCATGAGCAGCGATGGTCGGCCACTCCCGAGAAGCAGGGCTTCAGTATGCGTGACAGTTTCTCATCAGGCATATGTCTCATTGGAGACAATGAATGCCCGCCCTCCTGCTCTGTGCCTTAGCTTTTATATCTGAGCTGATGTCATATGGTATGGAATATCCCTTTGGTCAGTTTGGGTCAGCTGGCCTACTTGGGTCCCCTCCCAGGATCTTGCCCTCAACTAAGGAAGGAATGTTACAGTGTTGGTGCTGTGCTCAGCAGTAGCCGAAACGCTGGTGTGTTATCAACACCCTTCTAGCTACCAATGCAAAGCACAGCACTGCGAGGGCTACTGCAGGGAAATGAACTCCAACTCAGCCAGACCAAATAAAACTGGGTAGAGATCTATTGGAGAAATTAGAAGCCGAAATTAAATTCTACAAGGGGGGGGAATAAAAGTCATAATTCCTGACACTAAATATATCGAGGCAGCTACCTTTTTTATACAGGAGAACCACGGAGAGATCCCCACAGAGGCTGAGAATGCTGTCATCCCTATAGTGTGGGCTAGCGATTGTCCTGGGAGGTCCAAGCAAGCAGAACCTGTAAGCATCACACTCAAACCAGGAGCAACACCAGTAAGACAAAAACAATAGCCTTTGAAGCTAGAAAACCATAAAGGATTAACACTCCTAGTTGAAAAGTTTCTTAAATTGGGGTTATTAGTAGAATGTGAATCCAAATACAATACCCCCATTCTACCGGTAAAAAAGGCTGATGGCAAGAGCTATCAATTGGTGCAGGATCTAAAGGCAATCAACAAAATAACAGATATACACCCAGTAGTAACCAACCTCTATACCTCATTGACCACATTAACAGATGATTTAGAGTGGTTTACTGTGCTTGATCTCAAGGATGTCTTCTTCTGCATTCCCGTGCATAAGGACAGTCAAAAGCTTTTTGCTTTTGAATGGGAAAATACTGAAACAGGGAGAACTCAACTCACCTGGGCAGTTCTACCCCAGGGCTACAAGAACAGACAGACAATATTTGGAGGCCAACTAGCAAAAGAACTGGAGGACTGGAAAAACCAACAACCAGAAGAAGTTGTCCTGCAGTATGTGGACGATATTCTAATTGCTGCCAAAAGTCAAGACATCCAGCTCGCTGTAAGTCTTTTAAACTTTTTGGGACTAAGTGGGTATACAGTCTTGAAAGAAAAGGCACAGATTGCAAAGGAAATACTCATCTATTTGGGGCTTGAGATCTACTGTGGACATCAGTGACTCAGCACAGACTGGAAAGAAGCCATCTGTCATCTTTCAGAGCCCCACACCGTATGAGAAATGCAGGCTTTCCTGGGAATGGTAGGATGGTGTCGTCTGTGGATACTTAACTATGGATTACTAGTCAAACCCCTATATGGAGCATTAAAAGCGACCAGGGAAGGAGTCGTGACATGGACAGTTGAAACCAGGGCCACATTTAAACAACTGAAACAATCTTTAATGTCAACTCCAGCATTGGGACTACCGGACCTAACTAAGCCTTTTGAACTGTTCACATATAAGCAACTGAATGTTGCTCTGGGAGTACTGTCACAGACCCTGGGAAACCAGCAAAGGGCTGTGGCTTACTTCTCCAAACAGCTAGACAGTGTTGACCAAGGGTGACCGGGGTGTTTGAGAGCTGTAGCAGCAACTGTTATCCTAATCCAGGAGGCTCAAAAACTCACCCTTGGGCAACACATTGTCGTGTATGTACCCCATGCAGTCCAAGCTGTGCTTGAGCAAAAGGGGGGTCACTGGCTGTCCCCTAGCAGAATGCTTAAATACCAAGCTGTGTTGTTGGAATAGGATGATGTTACCCTGAAAACAACATCTATTGTAAATCCTGCTATGTTTCTGTCCTCAACATTGACTGACAGTGTGCCCGAGCATGACTGTTTGCAGACCATTGAGGAGGCCTATTCCAGCAGACCAGACCTGAAGGATGTGCCTCTGGAAAACCCAGATTGGGAAGTGTACATGGACGGAAGCAGTTTCATGTGGGATGGTAAGAGATTGACAGCACATGCAGTGACAACCAAGGATGAGGTAATAGAGGCGAAGGCCTTGCCATCAGATGTATCATCCCAAAAAGTGGAACTGATTGCACTGACAAGAGCTCTAGAACTGAGCGAAGGAAAGAAGGTAAATATATGGACTGATTCTAAATATGCATTCAGCATTGTACATGGCCATGGAGCCATCTGGAAAGAAAGAAGGCTGCTACCTGCCCAAGACAATGGGATCAAACATGCTGACCAAATCCATGCACTCCTGCAGAGTATTTGGAAACCAGAGGAAGTGTCTATCATGCATTGCAGAGCTCATCAAAAGGGGAAAACAACTTCTGAATTGGGAAATCATTTTGCCAACCAGGCAGCAAAAGGGGCTGCAGAAAAAGGTACCCTGGCAGTAATACCACAGAAGGAAATCGATATGACAGGGTGTCATAGGTTTACTTGTTCTAAGACCGAACTGGGAATTTTTTCTTTTCCCTGCATCACTGTAAAAGAAAGATGTTGAACGAGGGAGAGGGAGGGTGGTTTGCCTAGGGTGATTGACACACAAAAGAACTGGCCGCAGCCTGCATTCCAAACTGATGGCCATCAGAAGATTGTGGGAGGGGGAAAAAAGTTTTTTTCCTCTCCTCGGGAAACGGCAGGCACTCCACTGTTGCCCTGACTTAGGGAGGGTGTTTGCATGGGGGGGTTCCGAAGTTGGTTTTTTTTTTGGCACCGGGGCCCCCACGTGGCAACTGCCAGAGCCCAACAGCGCCCCCTGCCAACCACCACAGAGCAACTGCAGGCTCTGCTCCTCCAGTGATCCAACAGTGCCCCCTCCTGATCGTGGTCAGAATTGCGCCAAAAAGCAAAAAGTACTGAACTGTTTCCTTTTTCAAGGGGAATTTTGGGTAGAGGATTATTGTTTAGTTGTTTTGGTGCTCTTTTGTTGTTCTGCCAATACACATATATCCTTTAATAAAGGGCTGTTATCTTTTCTTTCTCCATACTTCCTCAGTTGGAGCCTCTTAATTTCAGATTTACAATTGGTTAGAGGAAGGAACTTGGTCTTCCTCATAACTCATCCTCCTTAGCAAAACACTTCAGTCTCATTAAACTGAGACACAAGGTTCACCCTAAAATATGGTGAGAAAGACCACCAGTTTATTAAGTCCCTTAACACTGAAATCAAAGAAAGCGGATGGACTGTTACACCCACAGGACAGGTTGTGGTCACACCCCATCTCCTTAGGGAGATAGCTGTATGGGAACATGAGGCTACCCACTGGGAAACAGAAAATCTTTTAAAACATTTGAAGAAGGTAGTAATAGGGACAGGTCTGACCAGAGTCATGCAATCCACTGTAAGTAAATGTGAAATCTGCAGGCAAAATAATCCTGATACAAACAAGAGAGTGGTGCTAGGGGTAACAGAGGCCGGGGACCTTCCCGGAGATTATGGGCAAATAGATTTTGCTGAGTTACCATCCAGGGAGGGATACAAGTACATACTGGTACTGACTGACACCTTCAGTGGATGGCTTGAGGCTTACCCCTGTCACACTAACACAACAAGGAAAGTGGTAAAAGCTTTACTCAACCATATAATTCCAAGATTTAGGGTTCCTCTGGGAATGTCATCAGATAGAAGGACACATTTTATTACAACAATAGTGAAGGAGGTTTGTCGTGTCCTGGGAATTGTTTGGGACTTGCATACTCCCTACAGACCTCAGGCAAGTGGCAAAGTAGAACATATCATTAATTCATGGCTAGGCTTTGCGAACGAAAATTTGGGAAGGGCTCTACCCACATTTGTTACAAGCGCGTTGGTGGCTAAAAAGGCCAAGAACATATTAATGGTACTCTTAAAATGCAAATTGGTAAAATTTGTCAGGAAACATCTATGTCATGGGTTCAGGCTTTGCCTCTAGCTCTGCTGAGAATTTGCATACAACCAAGGCAGAGAGATAAGTCCTTATGACATATTATATGGGAGACCATACCAAACTCTGTATATTCCAGGGGACATTCACATGAGAGGGAAAATTGATTAATAAAAGTGTTTAATGGCTCTAGGCTCTACTTTACAGAAACTCCAGAGAGTCATCGAGTTATCCAGACCCATAGGATTGGACACCCCTGCTCATCAGTTCCAACCTGGAGACTGGGTCTATGTTAAATGGTGGGACAGTGATCCTCTGTGAGCCAAGTGGAGAGGACCATTCCAAGTCCTGCTGACTTCCCTCACTGCAGTCAAAGTTGCTGGCAAAGGACCCTGGTGTCATTACTCCAGAGTTAAGAAAGCTTCAGTTCCTGGAACAACTAGCAAAACAGAACCTGACACTGATGAAGAGGATGTGGCTTAAACTGTTTCTTCCGTACATTTTTATCTGTACGGTCAGTAACTATGTATTGGGTTTAGAACCAAAATTTGCATTTGGCTTTAGTAAAAATTATCCAATATTCTTCATGAAAATGAGTACTGGATTTGCACTATGAATTTGGCTGAAATTTGGCAAGAAGTTTAAATTCTACATTGGGTTTTGGAGATATCCTCCACAAACTTACTTCATGGTTACCAAACTGGACCTGGATAAAACAATGTTTATATTAGTTATATGCATAGTTAGTGTTTGTATAATAGTTCATTGCATAAACTGATGCTGTAGGTGTTGGTGATCCCTTTGGTATAATGCTAGGTATAAGTGGTAGAGATTGGGAAAGACTGAGTTTTGTCCATCTCTAAAGGGGGGACTGATGCCTCAGAGCTTTTTGGATTTTTTAACTTTTGTAGATTTTAGAAGTAGTTGTGTAGTAAATGCAGATTTTAATGTAACTGTATTATATCCCTTACCCTTTAACATAATAGTTTACATATACCCAACCCTATTACCCCATTTCATATCAATCCCTCTAAATTCCGTTTGCATGTTTAGTCTTCTTTTCAAGAACATTCATACTGTTCATTTCTGAACAGTAGCTCGCTGGGCCACCCTGTCAGGGGGTGGGGTTTCTGTCAAAACAGGCTTGATGACCTTAAAGGGTCCCCTTAAAATTAGAGACTGCTGACAGACAATTTTTTCTGCTTCCCAAAAAGCAGTACTCACCACAAATAAGCCCTTTTCCCAGGGAGAATATAATTTTTTGGCATCTTTGAAACTGCGTGAATAAAAACCTATAGACCTGGTGGGACCATCTGGTCCTTTCTGCCATAAGTGTATGGACAGTCCAGAGCTTGCAAATTCCCAACTCAGTTTGTACTGGATCGGTAGGGTGTATAGGACCTAGTGAGTGGTATGTGTTGGCCTCAAAAATCAGGAGTTGTAGGGCTTCATCATGAAGAGGGGTCCAATCCCACCTGACTTTTTTCCATAACAAATCATGTAAGGACCGTGCAATTATTGAAAAATCTGGGATGTGTTTTCTCCAAAAAATCATCAGGCCTAAAACATACTGCAAATCCTTTTTATTCTCTGGTATTTTAATTTGGTGTAGGCAGGTAAGTGTGCCTGGAGGAATACAAACCATTCCTCCCTTCCACCAAATTCCCAGGAATTTTACTTCTTATGAAGGAGGTTGTACCTTTCAGGAGGGATATGTAAGTCCAGGGACTCAAGATGCCTAATAATGTCTGTTTGAGTTGTTTGCACAGGTGCAATTTCATTTCCTGCTACTAAAATGTCATCAATATATTGGTACACTTTTACTCCTGGTGCAGGAGGAATGAGTGACAGTTCCTGTGCCAGTGCATGATGTGCTAGAGTGGGTGAACGTTTAAATCCTTGTGGGAGATGGGTAAAAGTGTATTGCTGACCCTCCCATGTGAAAGCAGTGCTCTTGATCCTGTTCCTGCAGGGGAACCATAAAAAACATGTCTTTGATATCAGTAGTGGCCATAATTTGATGGGCTTGTTCTTGGATGGTTGCTATTAATTCAGTTGTATTTGGGCCCCGGATTTGCATTAAGACATCGGTAGTCTACCGTTAGCCTCCAATTACCATTTGGCTTACGGATGGGCCACACAGGAGAATTGTAAGGAGAATGTGTTGCAATCACTATTCCTCTTTCTTTTAAATCTCCAATAACTGGAGTGATTCCTTCTCTGGCTCCCAAGGGTAAGGGGTAAGGTTTACTAGGGAGGGAGGAAGAGCAGGGGCAGGACTTAGTAAACACAGATGTGGGATTTCTTTTCCAAAAACCCATATATTTCCTTCCTCATCAGTCCAAGACCTTCCCTTAAGGAGGTCTAACCCCAGTAAATTTGCAGGAAATTTACCTAAAATCATTAGGGTTTCAACTGCTTTCTCCTCCCCTGGTACCCAGCATCTCACCTTTGCTGTTATCTGGAGTTGTATGTTTCCAAAAGCATCCTCAACAAATATGCCTTTACGTGAGGGAGTGATTCCACATGAAGATGCATCTTCAACTTTCAGGGCAGACACTTGAGCACCAGTATCTATTAGAAGAGTTACAGGGGTTTTGCGAGGACCAATAAGACAGGTTATTAACAAGTCTCCTTTGGAATTTTTGGTAAGCTGTCTAATGTAAAACCACCCTTCGCCCCCCAGCTTACCTACTGGGGATGAAGAGAGGAATTTCCTGTCACCTCCCCTTTCTGTGATCCCTCCAGGGGAGGGACTGTAGCAGGGACAGCGAGAAATGGATTTGTTGGGATATCACCAGCAGATGGGAGGTCCACAACCTACTAAAGGAAGAGATCATTATAAATACTGAACAAGAGACACCTAAAGATCACCTACTATTGTTAAAGTTGAGTGATTTATACTCTGAAGTGACACAGGAGGAGATCAGAGATTTAGAGCTCCCCTCAGCGGGATAAAACTTGTTTGTTGATTTGGCAGAGAAAATTGCAAAAGGGCTAAATGTAAATCACTGTTGTTTTTGTAGTGGATCTTTAATGACAGAGGAATGGCCCTGGAGGGGTTTTAGCCTAGATGCTCGAGAAATACTTAAGGGGAATTATACTTTTTCTTGTAATAAAGTAAGTCGACCAGAAGGGTGGATATTAAGCTCCACGGTGATTGGAAGAGATTGTGTACTGAGAACAGGAGTTCATTTTGTACACCCAGTTGGGGAAACTGTGCAAAAGAACTCTGAAGCCTAACTTCACTCACAGTGAATATTTTCCACAGGCCCCAATAGATTATTGGTCGGAAAAAGGCAACTCCAATTGTGAGTGGGATACGAACCAGAAACCCTACAAATGTAACAAAACCAAAATGAACCCCTTTTCTGGAATAAAAGAAATATCAAAATTTTGGAAGAACGTTGATAGCACTTCCAAAGACTTTTGGAAGGCCCCTAATGGGCTCTTTTGGATTTGTGGAAAAAGGCTGTATACAACTTTACCAGAAAATTGGAGCGGTTGTTGTACTTTAGGAATAATCCTGCCTGAGTTCTTCCTGTTGCCCTTAGAAAGTGGAGATGAATTAAGGGTCCCTTTGTATGGACCAGCAACATGGGTGCAGGATGGGACATGGGGTTACTGTACACCCATTTATCATAGTATAGTAGTATAGATTGGGTTGGAAAAGACCTCCAAGATCATCAAGTCCAAC